GAATTTAGGGAAAATTAACTAAAGAACGGAGGCGTAACAATATGTAGGCTTCTGATAAGATGTTTATGCCACTGTTCACAACATTAACATTTTTTTAAAAAGATTTATGAGACGATAATGCGGTTTTAGATTGAAGTCGTAAATAAAAGTCTTTAAGGTAAATAGGTATGACAGGTCGGAGTCTGCAACTCATAAAAAATGTACTACTTGCTTATGGAATAAGACTTGCATTTTCAATATATGTAAGTCGGAGCTTAGTGATTTATAAAAATTGCAGATTTATTCAGTTAAAAAATTACACTTTGTGGAAATATTATTTGAACAAGATGACACGTATAATTTTCCTTCTTTTTCTTACAAAAAAATAGGTGCAGTATCCAAGTGCGGTGCTTTTCCAAAAATAAAAAATGCTGTGGGTAAGGCTAAGGACCAGGAGTCTTATGATGTAGGAACTATTGTGTCTTATGTTTGTGAATATGGTTATAAAAATGCTATTACACATGCACTGAGTGAAGCCAGGGATGCATCTCAGTCTCAATGTCAAATGAATTCAAATGAAAACCCATACTGGACAGAGCCATCATTGGATTGCAAACGTAAGATTTCATCTATTATTATACATTACAAAAATTATTCTTGTATATCAGTCTCAACTGTCTTAATTATATGATATCACTACATAATTATATGTGAAGCAGTCTTTTCGAAAGTCTGTTAAGTAGTTTAAAAAGTTAACTTAGAAAAATGCATACTTACTTTACTAAGAAAAGTTATAGATCAAATTTTACTTATATATATATATAAGCTATATTTTTTAATGTTATAATTTAGGTGCTAACTGAAAAACGCATGACATTAAGATCAAAACGTCCATATGTAGGCCTAGAAACTTATAAAATTGTTTATCTCAGATTTTCTAGTACATTCGAGGGGTATCAAGACTCAGAGCAGTGAGTCGCGCGGTCAAGGAAAAAGTAAGCACGTACGTTCCAAAACATGCAGCCACAAGTAAGAGTCATTTTACACGACGTGATTGTGAACAAAATCGGCCGCTCTGAAACTCACCTATTCTAACAGCGAAACATTAGATATCCGCAGTGGAAACCACCGAGTCATTAGTAGTTGGCATATAAAAACGAACGAATCCCTGGAATCATTGCCGAGATATAGTCTGACCGAATCTGACCATATTGTTCGTTTTCGCATACCCAGTTTATTTTTATGGCGCGCGTTTAATTTGCAAACCTCAACCATCATCTCAATCTTCATCTGATTGCTTTGAAATTAATATCACTACTTCCTTCACGCTCACTCTACCAGCAAAAGTGCTTGTCGCTCGAAACAATAAGTTTTGTGGCATACAGAGCTGGTTTTGTTTAGAACAAAATCTAGATATTAAATTTCATTTTAACATTACAAGGATAAAAAATACCATTGCTTTTGTTGTTTTTTTATGTAAACGTTCGTGAAATTCTGACGAGTAGTTTTCTTGAAAGTGCTTGTAAAATTTTAAATCGCTTGTGCCAATGGGTAGAATTTAGACTGGCTTCCTGGAGACTCGTGAGATTTAATTGTTTGTTGACAACCATTAATTCTTTGTCAAAGCTAATAAATTTATTTGTAAGTTTAATTCATAAGTTTATTTTCCATACACGTAAGCCTATATACTCGTGTGCACTGTAGCTCATATATATAACCACAGGACTTGCTTATATTCCAGTATTATTTACTATTCACTATGTGAGGAGGTATGTGTATACTGTCCACAGTTTATTAACATGTACCTACTTATATGTAAGCTTCATAAGTGGTTTTGGTTGACTGGCAGGCTTTAGCCAGAACTGTCCAAGTTTCGACTGCTACTCGCTATTGAAATGTGGTATTAACTTGTATGTGCCTAGCGCTAACATTAGCAAAGACTTTTTGTCGTTAAATACAGGTATAATAAAACCGTATTTGCAGCTGTATGTGACACAGTATGTGAATCACCAGGCTGTAATACGTCAACTGAACATCCAGTTTTTAATGCACAGGATAATGTGGCAACCGGATCTTCAGTTGCCACAGCTAAGTGTGACTTAGATAGGTATTCTTGTCAGAATGATGCGACCAAACAAACACCAACACATAAGCAATCTGTTCAAATATCTTCCAAGTGGGCTAATCATAGTGAAGTGGTGAGAAGTAGTAGGAGGGAAAAGTATAAAAAAATCCCGAGAGAAAAAGAATTAGATCACTTCATTATTATTAATCTCAGCCTCATATAAAAAATATTAGACATAAATATCATTTATTTGATGTACAGCATGAGATAAATTGTAGTGTTTCACAAAAAAATATGATATGTAAACCAAAAACATACTGGCTGTAAAGAAATAGCTACTAAAAGAATTGATATCAATATAACCGAGGCAATCAATATTATTGGATACATAGTTTAAAATTATGTTGTTATCAATTAGCCTTGAAGTCGTTGGAAGTAAGTATATGTTTACGTTAGTGGATATGTTTTTCGATGGGTGTGACAGTTCACAAAAAATAAGGCTGAAATAGGTTTCACACAGATTGCAAAAGTTTAATGAAAATCTCCACAACTCAGAGCACAAACGATAGTACTGTATAACACAATTCGACACAACACTACACATTATAAAAAGCCAAGTTATGGGGTTGTGAAAAAAAAATGAAAAGTGTGATCAGTTAAAGTGAGGAAGACGTTATTAAACAAAGATAGCAGGAGCTGGTGTGTTTTCTTTCCCATTTAACCTAGATGAGCATATAAGAGAGAATTACAAAAAAAAGAGTATCCCCAAGTTAAAATATAAAACAATAACATTAACCCTCACTTTAACCTCTGCAAAATCTAAGTTCCCACTGAGATTTCACGGCAATAACAATAATGATATATAATTATTTGTATTATCAATCAATACAATATTCCCTAACAGGTGAACTTACACTACTACTTACAAACCTATGACCACAGTTCCAATGCCTACACAGGTGAAAATGAAAGCTAATTTCAAAATTACAAGACACCTTGCGAAGCTCTCTGCTGATAAACTATACAGAAATAATATGTCAACCTACGCAGTGGAAGACAAGAACTTTAGGGGTTTTCCTAAATTCACTGAAGCACTACACTTAAGCCCAAATGCTCCACAGTGGTTCAGTAGTAAGTTCTGAAGACTTATAATGCCAAAAACAGGATTTCAGTATTCATGGTGTGCAGAACACAGCTTGTTGTGTATCTTTGCACTTAACAACAAACAAACAAACAAAAAAGGATAAGAAAACTGTGTAAAAATAATAACAATTCTGCTTACAACTTAGTGGAAGTCTACTGAAAATCTAATGAAAAATCTCATAAAAAACTGCTCTCATAGGCTTTAACGCTGTTTTAAATACGACAATAAAATCTTAAGTTTTTGACATAAGAAAAAAGTGATTGGTGCCTGTTAGGTCAGTTGGTCAATGGGCAGTGAAGATCAGTGGTGAGTCCACCTGAAGCTACTGTCTTATTCTTTGAAAAAATAACTTGGTGTGCTAATTAAAAGATAAGAGAATCAGAAAATAAGGTGCCATAAACTCCACTTGATCCAATTATCCCTCATGGAAATTTAAAGTTAGAAACATGCTTGAGCAATATATATGTTGGAGATATCCCATACTCTACAAAAGTTTGAAATTTAGAAAACAGATAAAATCGGATTCGGATAGAAAAAATATATCATTTAAAACAACGTTTCATCATTGCTAACGTGGCGTCATCAGGTACTCAGCATAATTGTACACGATAATTGAATACACCCAATTGGTGATGTCAAACATAATCTTGAGCTTGTGCAATTCTATGTTCCAATTGGAGAACTGCAGAAAAACATCAAAATTTAGTAAACTTAACTTTTAAAATAAAAGGGTTTTTTGTTTGTTGAATTTCGTGTAAAGATACTCGAAGGACATTTGTGCTAGCTCTCCCTAATTTTGAAGAAAACACCACCCATTACCATCTGTTGGGCTACTCTTTACCAACCAATAGTGGAATTGATCGTAACTTTATAACAACCCCATAGCTGGAAGGGCGAGTATGTTTGGTGGCGGAATTTGAGCTTGTGATACGTCAGGCCGTACTATACCTTAAAGTAAAAGGAGTGGAAGACATGTAGTACATTCCAGTACTATAGAATTTTACTTGTTTATGGTAAAAACGTGGCATTCCAGAAGACTTCACCAAAATTGTTCTTTGAAATATAGAAATTTGTTCCTTGCATTCAGTTAATTACAAAAATGTAAGTTACATTTTTTTGCTACAGATTTTACTTGTAATGAAATTTTAGTTATGATTTAATTTTTTTAGCCGTGAAGTGTGGTGATCCGGGTGTTCCAAAGAATGGCAGATACCTGGATTTTATTTTCACATTTCCGCATGGAGTGAAGTTTCAGTGTGATAAAGGCTACGAGCTTGTAGGAAGAAGAGAGATTTTCTGTCTTCCAAATGGTGACTGGAGTAGCCCAGTTCCAGACTGTGAACGTGAGATAAATCTTATGCTGTAGATAAGTATTTCAATAATTATAAAAGTAATTCTACTCTCAAATAAAATAACGTTTTCTCTCAAGTGACAAAAAATTGGATTTTTATAAATTTATGTAATGTTTTATGTTAAATGAATATATTACAATGAAGTTATGAAGTTTATTTGTTATTCCAAGTTTATAGCACTTATTTATTTTTCATTTAAAGCTTGGGTTGTTTTAAGAATAATTAATAGGTTGTTTGCTTGATTCTAAATTATATAAAGTGACACTAACTATTTATGATTTTTCTACTATTCGAAAGATTATTTAACGTCGCAGGCAATTGAAATACTTTGAAATACCATTATAGTTTTACACTGTGATTTGCAAATAATTATGACATTACGTGAAACCAATATACCTAACCGGGCAATTCACAAAATGTTAATATTTTAACTTTTGAAACCTATATACTGGACGAAATGTAAAAGTTGTAACCACATACCTAAGGGCCACATGTTTTTTAATAAGTAGATGTTTTAAATTTATTATATCAAAAATATTTTCAAAGTGGTTATTACAAATTTGAAATAATCTATATTTTACGTAATTTACTTTAAATTTATTGAGCTGTTTCACACTACTTCCAAATAAATTAACATTGGTAGAAACATATTCACCAACTGCTATATGTCTGCTGCAATACTAGTAACTATTAAAACCGTGCAGACATGAATTTGTCAACTTAACCTATTACATGAGTGATTCGATGCCATTGACAATTTGATGTCATTATCATAAAACCAGGGTGTTTTGTGCACCCTGAAAACTTTTTTCGGGACACTGGAGCAAATTACCACACAAACACACAAAAACAACCAAACAAACAAACAACAACAACAAAAAAAACGGGGGTGGGTAACCTTGCAAAACTGGGACGCCTGGTCAAAGAGACAAAGAAAAAGTATTGAGACCCAAATTTTCCAAACATTTGATTTAAAATTTCCAACCCCTTTGTATTCCACCACTGAAAATTGAAATGGACCACATGCATATGAATAATTTAATCATTCCACAATTTGAAATATCTATATCAAGTTTTATCGAGTTCTTCCGTACTTCTTGGAAATGAAAACTTCCGAATTTTTGTTACGTCATCAGTACATGATATACCAATACTCCACTTTTTTTTAATGTGTTGATATGTTTGAGTGCCCTGTTCTGGTCATACCAAAACGTCGTAGACATTTTAATTGAAGTCTTGAAGAGCTTAGTGCAAGTTTACAATGTAAACCTAGTTTCTTATTGGTAAATTCAATATTTCTTTTCATTTTATTCCATTTATTAGATTATCTCAAACCTGAACAGAACCATATGACCATATTATTGAATACAAACTTACTAAGAAATTACTTGTTTGTTTATCAGATACTGTTGTAAAAACCCTAACCATTTGTGCTGTCAGGGAGCTTTTTGTTAGAAAAATCTTGTGAACATTAAACTTAACTGAATTCATTGGTATTTGTAAAATAGTTTTCATCAAGACCTAATACAAACAAGATATGGAACAATGTAGGCACAATTTGAAGTTATCTTAATTAACATTTGTAACAATTTTTGTTTTGTTTTTCAGTCAAACAATGCCCGTTGCCATCAGATCCACAAAATGGAAAGGTATCATACAATTTGTTAACATATAAGTCTGTGATTAACTATCACTGTGATAAAGGTTATGGATTGGTTGGACCAAGTGAGAGGGTCTGCTTGGAAGATGGAATGTGGAGTGGTGAAGAACCTTCTTGTGTTGGTATGTTTAATTGTTTGTGTTAATACATGTACTATATGTATAATATATTGTTACACCTCCAGTCGTTACTTAATTTTCCGTAAATTCGTTCCGACGAAACTTTAGCGACACAAGTCCTTTCTTAAATAAAACTGGTTTATTCTTTCTGAATATAACTTTACGATACACTTAATTTCAACAGTCTCTCTATAACAACGCTATAACTCACATCTCACGAGCTCGACAATACTCCGATCAATTACA